AGAAATGATTTACATTATTACCTTTTGCCTCTTCATATTCATGCAATAAATCTTCATAACATATTCATGTATATAAATCCATCTTGTTGGACTCTTCCTATTTTTCACAGACCCTACACTTTTCCAAGCATGATGTCCTTTCTAGGGATGGTCACTCTTGACAACATGTCCAAACTCCAAGACACAAAGTCTCGCCATCCTTGCTTCTAAAGAATATTCTGTCTGTACTTACTCCAAGACAGATTTGTTTGTTCATCTACCACTCCATGGTACTTTTCAGTGTTCATTTTTATTTTTTTACTGCATTTTATTTTTTCCATGAGCATTGATTGTGGATCCAAACAAAATGAAGTCATTGACATATTTTATCTTCATTTATCATGTTAGTTACTGGCCCTGTTTTGAAGATTTTAATTTTCTTTTTATTGAGTTTTAATCTGTACTGAAGGCTGTAGTCTCTGATCTTCATCAATAAGTATTTCAAATTCTCATGGATTCCTGAAAGCAAAGATGTGTCATCTGCATATCTCATGTTATTAATGAGTCTACCTCTAATCCTGATGCCATGTTCTTCTTCATATAATCCAGCTTCTCAGATTATTTGCTCAGAATACAAATTGAATAAGTATGGTGAAAGGACACAACCCTGGCACACATCTTTCCTGATTTTAAACCATTTAGTGTCCTCTTGTTCTGTTTGAATGGATGCCTCTTGGTCTATGTACAGGTTCTCATGGGCTAGTGTTCAGGAATGTTATCCATTGTTATGATTCACACAGTCCAATTAAGCAATTTAAGTCAATTAAGCACAAGTAAACAACTTTCTAGTATTTCCTGCTTTCAGCCAAGATCCATCCGACTGACATCAGCAGTGATATCCGTAGTTCCATGTCCTCCTTTGAATCTAGCTGTTGTATTTCTGCCAACTATTTTTAAATTATCTTCTGTAAAATTTTACTTACTTGGAAAATTAATGATACTGTTTGATGATTTCCACATTCTCTTGGGTCACCTGTGTTTGGAATGGGCACAAATATGGATCCCTTCCAATCTGTTGGCCAGGTAGCTGCCTTCCTAATTTCTTGTCCTAGAAGAGTGAGCACCTCTAGCACTATATCAGTTTGTTAAAACATTTCTGTTTGTATTATGTCAATTCCCAGAGTGTTGATTTTTGCCTTCAGTGCAGCTCAGACTTCTTCCTTCAGTTCCACCAGTTCTTTGTTTTGGGTTTTTCAACTTTTTATTGTGAATTACGTGAAACTTTATAGATAATACAGATAATTATTACATTCAACAAACACTTTGTTTCATTTCAGTAATTGCAATCCTCTCCATGTAGCATCAATTATCCCATTTTCTCCTTGTGATTCTTATTTCCACTCTACCTTTCTTCCCAACCCATCTGAACTTTGTGTTTAGGTAAATCTTGCCCTTTTGATCTTGGTTGGTTAACCATTCCCTGGTGAACATACCTTGCTAGTGTTATTTTCTATATATCTATCTACCACTTGGCTGAAAATTGAGCCTTGGCAGTATTTAGTTCCAGATATTAAGGGTCTCTGAGAGCCATAGTCTTGAGTTCTTCTAGTCGCTTTCTGACCAGTAAGCCCAGTCTTATTTATTTATAATTGTAAATTTTGTTCAATAATTTCTCCCGTTCTATCTAGGACCTCCTGATGTGTGATCCCTTTCAGAATAGTTGATAGTGGTAGCTGGACAACATCTACTTCTGGTCTCAGGGTCACGATATTCACATGTTCCATTAGTTCATTGGACTAATTGATTCCAAGCATCTTCAATTTTTGTCACTCTTAATTCCTCCCCAAAGGAAGAGAGCAGTAGTTTCATCTTAGCTGGGTGCTTATGAGCTTTTAATGTCCCAGTTGCTACTCGTAATAGAGCATTGTCTTTGGGGACTGTGTTATCCCAATTGACAATGGTGTTCCATGACACAAATATATCATTGGTCTTTGATCATATGCTACCTCTTGAAATGATTGAACATTGACCAGTTCATTTTGGTACAGTGACTGTGTATTACTGCCATCGTCTTTTGATGTTTCCTGCCTCATTCAGTATTTTGTCTGTGTTATTGTTGTTAAGTGCTGTCAAGTCAGTACTGAATCCTTGTGACCCTGTATAGTGTTTCTGATGGTGGGTTTGAGTCTCTGTCCTCACAGTTAGCAATTCAGAGCTTGTCTTACAATGTCAAAAAGTCCTTTAATATTGCAACTTGAGGCCTTAATTTTTTTCTTCAGTTCTTTCAGCTTAAATGCTGAATGTGTTCTCATTTGGTTTTCTAACTCTGGGTCTTTGTACATTTCATTTTAATAATGTGTCTTGTGGAGCTACCCTTTGAAATTTTCTGTTCAGCTTTTGTATGTCACTTTAGCTTCTCTATGTTCAAGAGCAAATTTCAGAACCTCTTCTGACATCCATTTTAGTCTTCTCTTTTTTGTCTTTCAGTGACTATTTGCTGTCTTCATGTTTGTTTTTGATGTCATCTCACAGCTCTTCTGGATTTTGGTCATTAGCATCTAATGCATCAAATCTGTTCTTGAGATGGTCTCTAAATTTAGGTGGAATATACTCAAGATCATATTTTGGCTCTCATGTACTTCTTTTCATTTTCTTCAGCATCAGTGTCAGCCTGAACTTGCATATAAGCAATTGATGGTCTGATCCACAGTCAGCCCCTGACCTTTTTTTTTTTCCTTTGATAAAGTTTTTATTGTGACTTGAGTGATAGTTTACATGGGAGAATATCAGTTTTACACTCACCCTGTCATATTTTGTGTAATTGAAATGATTACAATCCCCTCCATGCATCATCATTCAATAGTATTTGCTTCTATTCCCTCTGTGGGTTTTATTTATTATTATTATTATTATTATTATTATTATTATTATTATTATTATTATTTTTGGTGGGGGGGATGTACACAAAAATATTCAGGAATATATAATCATTTAAACAACCAAAGAGCACATTTGGCAAGCCTGCCTCCTGGCCACCAGCACACAGCCTTTCTCTTTCCATGAGTCTAGAGTCCTCAGCTGTGCTATCCTTCCATGTCCTTACATCTCTGCCTCCATCTATGGTATCACAGCTTCTCTAGATAGGGTCCTGCATTCCACTTGTGCTCTTCTCTCTTGATGGTCCTAGGGTCTTCTGATCCTGGAATGTAAGATTAACTACTTCCCCATTTTTGTTACAAAACTTCTACCTTTACCGTTTTGTCAGTCTCAATTAGTCATGATTAACATTTACTCATTATTGAATCATAAGAATCTTATCCCCATCTTTTTTCACCAGACCAATCTAGACAAGATGAAAACTATTCAGTGGGGATTCTACCGTCCCACCGCACATTCTGAAACTAAACTCCCTCTTGAAAACTTGTAAGACAGTCACTTCATGCCTTTTTAGCCCTCCCATCCCCCGTTTTAGGTAGCCAATATCTTAAGTTGCCTATCGCTATCAACCCTGTATACAGAGGGGATAGGATTGATTCTTGATGTGACTCCTTCCTTCTCAGTTGGTATTTTGAGCTACTACATCCTTAAATATAGGTCAAGTTCATCAAATTGTAGCAATTTACATTTGTTTCCTTTATCAAAAACTTTTTATCTTCCTCTAGTTGGTTTCTAATCATCAAGCCTTGGGAGCTAGCCCTGACCTTGTTTTGAGTGATGATTATTACTGAGCTTCTCCATCATCATCACTTCTGACAGATGTAGTCTCTTTGATTCCTGTGTATTCCATATGGTGAGGTCTATGTGTACACTTGCCATTCTCTGATGTTGCAAAATGTGCTTGCAATGAATAAGTCATTGGTCTTGGGAAATTCTATTATGTAATCTCCAGCATCATTTCTATCATCAAGGCTATGTTTTCCAACTATTGATTCTTTCTCTGTTTTGTCTTTTGTACTCCAACCACCAATAGCTGTCAGTACATCTTGATTACACATTTGATCAATTTCAGACTGAAGAAATTGGTAGAATCCTTCCATTCCAGCATCATTAGCTTTAGTTGTTGTTGCATAAATTTGATAATAGTGGTATTAACCTATTATTTGCATTAGGCAAATCTGCTGCCCAAGACCTCTTTAAAGTGTTCAAGAGCAAACATATCAGATACACAAGAAGTTGATTTCAGCTGTGCGTAACTTGATGTTTGCCTAAGTCTCATATACTACCCTTTGGTGGTGGTGGTTATGTGCTGTGGTGTTGGTTCCGACTCAACAGAGACCCTGTACAGGGTTTCCAAGGCTATAAATCTTTATGGGAGCAGAAAGCCTCATCTTTCTCCCGTGGAACCTCTGGTAGTTTTGAACTGCTGACCTTAAGGTTCACAGCCCGATTCATAACTACTGTGCTACCAGAGCTCCTTATACGACCCTATAGCAAGCACTAGGGTAATATTGCTATCAGGCCAGATAGCAGTTTTCTAGAGATTCTGTTCCAGAAAGCCTTGGGAACCTGGTTTCAAGGAAGAACCCATTGGGTCTGGGCAGAAGTATTTTATCTATACTTTGATACTATTTGGGCTTAGGAATTTAAGTCAGTTTATGGTAAAGATGGAGAGAAAAAGCAATGTCTATTAAAGTAGATAAAACCAAAGCAATAAGTTCAACAATAGAGAAACAACACTGGTCAGAAAATGTCTTTTTCTCTTAGAGAACTCTAAGATTATGTCTTAGAAGAAGACAAAGAAATCTCTGAATCTAAGGAGAGAAGTGAACACAAGTATAACTTTCCGAGAGACTGATAAGCAAAATGGAGTTCTGTTGATCTTTTCTTGCATTCATTTCTTTTCCTGTCCCATATGAATAGTCCTCTCATCATTTTCTCCCTTCCCCAAAGGTAAGATATTAATTGATCAACTGGACAGGATATATAGAGATATATAGATACTCAGAGTTTCTGAGGTATTGGGTATGATTTTTTTAATTGAAGTTTTAATGCAGAATATGTGCTCTCTTTTGGGGAGATTGTTACTGATATTTGGTTTTGCTAAATGTTTTAACAATGTTATATCTGTTTCTGCTCACCAGTGCAGGAAGTAATTCCAGGTAACCTCCAGAGAAAATGGCAAAGAAGATGGAGTAGGTCATAAGTAGGGAAAATGTGGTGGCTAAAGGAGCAAGCAGATTAGTGATGCTGCAGAGAAGGAGGAGGTAAGACTTGTTAATGATACTTCTTCATCCAGTTTTGACCAGCAGTCCATCCAGAGATAATCTGACTAACTCAGTGGTATCTGGAACAATATTGGAAAAAGTCTTAGATAATCTATTCTAGGCCCTTTGAAAAAAGAATACATCAGACATCTTGTCATAAGTAATATGGCCTCATCCTGCGATCAGGATGTGTGAAGAAAAAAATGTTGATTATCACAAACATGGAAGTCTGCCAGTAGCATCTCTCACTTATCTATTCCAAACATAAGTGATAAAATTCTCTAGGTGTTTTTTTTCTTTTCTGGTTATATTTGGAATGCTCCTATTACCAAACTGGGAATCACTGGAGGCCGTGTCTTCCCTTCCTTTAAGAAGTCCTACAGCTAAAGAGGTGAGATACCTATAAAACTAGTAGGCCATTAGACCAACTTCTGTCGACAAATATTAGAGCATAAAGAATAATAAAGTCTTTCATTGGAAAAAACAATAACAAAAACTGATGTTGAGACTCTTTGTTATAATTGTATATGAGGATTTAGTAATATTAAATTCTCTAAAAATCCTTGTGCTTAATTTGAAAATACTTGGGAATTCTACAGATGGAGGATCATATTTTCAGCACTGAAGCTATGATGTAACCTGAATAATACTTAACAACCACATTTTTCATTTAGTGTCACGATAATATAAAACCAAGATAATAGGTTTTACCCTTTATGCCATTGTAATGTAGCAGTTAATACTGAATACTGCGAGAATCTTTTCACCAAGAGCAATGATAAGCTGCCACTTAGTGTGTATTTCAAATTCTTCTTGTGGTTGAAATACAATAATTACTGCACACACACATACACAAATAATAATAATAAAGAATGCGTACTATCATTTTTCATACTTCAGACATATTGTCAGGAGGGAGCAGTCGCTGGAGAAGGAGATCATGTTTGGTAAGGTGGAGGGTCAGAGAAAAAGAGGAAGACCCCCCCAAGATGGATTGGCCAAGTGACAGGACTTAAGTGTGGCAACAGTAGTGAGGTTGGTCCAAGATTGGGCAGTGTTTTGTTCTGCTGTGCATAAGGTTGCTATGGGTCGGTACCGACTTGATGGCACCTAACAACAACTACCATTTCTATATTTTTGTGATTATTTACAAAGATATATGTCGATACTTTATGTTCTCTGTATGTAGTGTGTGTTGTATTCTTTGTATGTTATGTTTGCTTTATGGCCCTTTATGTAAATTGAGGTTGTTAGGTGCCATTGATTTGATTTCCACTCATAGGGGACCCTATGTGATAGAGTAGAACTGCTTCATAGGATCTTCTAGCCTGATCTTTAGTGGATTAGATCTCTAGATCTTTGTCCCATGGAACCACTTGGTAGGTTTGAACTGCTGACCTTTCAGTTGACAGCCAAGCACTTAACCCATTGTACCACTGAACCTCCTTGCTCTAAATTGATACTACCAGGCATTTTAGTGGGGGAGGAAAGTTCACCTATGTATCTTTTCTATTGAGAACACAAGCTTTATTTGATTGAAGCAGAGTATTTTTATAATTTGAATAGCTAAAAGAGGGGGTGAGTCAGTTTTGTAAGAGAACAAACAGGCCTTGGTGAGTATAGTCTTTTTAATAAATCAGCAAGACAAAAGTTGATATAGAGCTGCTGAAAATTTCCAGAAGTATAACTAGAGCTGACCAGTTCTACCTCAGTATGTCTTTATTTTATCTTATTAGTATATTCTCATTTCAGGGAACTCATATTTCTCCTGGACTGAGTATTTTGTTTCTGAACATTTTTATAAATCCTCTGCTTAATGATTTTATCCACTGTAGGATAAGCACTGGAGTGCTTACCAGAAGGTCAGTGGTTCAAACCCGCCAGCTGCTCCTTATAAACACTATACAGGGTTGCTATGTGTTGGAATTGACAACACTTAACAACAGCAGCTAATATGATGTTATGTTTTTAACTTATATACTGATTTGCTCTAGATATATAAGTCAATCTAATTAGTGGCTATTTGTTTTCATATGTATCTGTCTCACTGTGAGTTTGAAGAAAAAATACTTACCTATGAATATTAATGGAATATTTTGTTAAACACTTACAGTCAGTCAAGCAATATTCTAAATTCTGAATGCATTACTTATGTAATCCTTACAGCCTTATGAGGGTGTAGATTGTATTATCCCTGTATTACAGAAGAGGAAATTGAGTTACAGAGAAGTTAGGCAACTTGCCCCGAATCTCTGAGGTAGAAACTATAGAATTACCACTTGAACCTGGGAAGTAACTCCAGAACCAATCCCTATTTACACTGTGCTGGCTACCCAAGACATTTTTTGGCTCTACAGCAGCTGTTGCCAATGAGCATCAGCTTTTTGAAATTCAGCATCTGTACAATAAATATCCAAAGTCTGCTCTGGCAGACTTTTAGTATATGAAGTCAAATAAGTCTTGGTTTAGCATAGTTTTGTATATAACCTTAAGGGGAAAGAGCGTGTGTACAAAAATACAATGGCAGACCTATATAAGGAAACATGACTTCATGCTCCCTCCAACCTCAAAAAATTGGTTTTTCTTGGCCCTCTCACAGATCCTTTATTACATTTTCCCCTCAACTTTTAAGTAAAATTTAGTAAACCCGAATAAAATTAAGTGCTTTTTTTCGTTTTGGGTATGAGGTTGAATTGAAGTAGACTTTCTTACCAGCTATGGAAATGAGATGGCGAGGCATCCAAGGCATCAATCCTCAGTGCTTTGGCCCTGATTACCAGGAGTCCTGGTGTGGTGCTGTGGGCTAATGCGTCAGATTGCAAATTCATTTGAACTGCAAGGTCGGTGGTTCAAGCTCACCAGCTATTTGCTTGGAAACCCTATACAGAGTCGCTATGGGTCAGAATTGACTCGACGGCACTTAACAACAACAACAACCAGGTTAAAGGAAGGGAGGACATATGTTAACTGACTGAGGAGAAAATACCAGGTAAACATGTAGAAAAAGAACTTTTAGAGAAGTATCTGTTTATAGCTCACAAAATAATCCTTTTTCTTGTTAATTGTCTAATTTGCTTCTGAGGAGTAATTTGTTCAGATTCTTTGGTTTTCTGAAACTAATAAACTTGTACAGGGTTGTCTAGCCTTCTACACAGTATTGTCCCTGACGGAAAAGATTCCGTATCTCAATGTAGTGTGTTGCTTCTGTTCCACACACACTTCTGGTGCAGATAAACTGCCACCTCATCTTTAACATCAGAATTGCTTTCATTTTTGACAAGGATAGCCTAAGAACATACTTGTTAAGTACCGTCAAATTGGTTCCAACCGGTATAGGGTTTCTGAGGAGTGACTGTTGGGTTTGAACTGCTGACCTCGTGGTTATCAGTCCATTGCTTGTCCTACAGCACTACACCAATAAAAGATAACAGATTCAATGTGAAGGTTCCAAATAATACAAGGGCAACTAAATAAAAATCATTTTAATTCACAATATTCTGTGTTATAGACTTAAAAGAGGCCCCACCACCACCACTAAATATTTATAGCCATAGTCCAGTAACACTAAAAACATTACTTTGTCCTCTGAATTTAACTTAAAGCATAAAAAGGCTGTTGATTCAACTGTGAGCCATACACAGTGCTATCTCCCTCTGGAAGCAGTCATTTAGAGAGAAAAAATCAAAAAGATTGTTAGGAAAGAGAGAGATTAACATTTGTACTAGAGGAAAAAAATAAAGGTTTGGAGGGGAGGTATTTCAAATGCTAGGAAATGTGTTTTAAAGCATACAAAAAACAGAAAACCTAACTTAAAAGAAGGGACAGACAGCCTTTCATCCCATGACCTTCAAGGGAAACATGTCGTTCTTGCCTTTGAAGTCAAGTAGTTGACTTCATCGTGGCCTTACCAGAACTGGCATGTGTGGTGCTTTTAGAGTTCTGCTGTTCTATCTTAAGGACTTATCAGCCGCTCGTGTGTATTGTTAAAGTAGATGGTTTTTGACTTGGAAAAGATTAACCACAATTGCTATGTAGAAATAGACATGTGAGCATGTAGTTTTTTTCCAGTGAGTTAAAAATTACGTTTATTCAATATACTTGTTATCTCAGTCACACACAAAAAAACCATTATGGGGTGAACTTTTTGTACTCATTTGTGAGAATTGATAGTTGGCAGTATATAAACGATCTGTTAAGGAACAGCAATTGCCTTTTACCCTGTTTTCTTTCCATTGGTTTTATTGAGTCGGTTGCAGTTGACTTTATTTTGTTTTCTCCCTTAGTGCAAATTTTTTTTTCTTAAAAAAGAAATGTGAAAAGTGAGTGCTTGGTGGGGTTAAGAGAGGGAGCGAGTCCTTGCTTTCCTAGGGTGTTTCTCCAGGTGTGCAGTTTCTTCAGGCAGTGAAACCTGTGGTCAATTCATGAGTTGCTCCTGTAAGCTGACACAGTCAGAAAGTAGTTCATGACTAATGCATTGTGTTCTGTAAGAGAGGGTCTATTTACTGTAGAAATTGTGCTCATTTCCCCTGTGGCAATAGCTTATACTAGTGAATTACTTTAAAAATCTTCACTTGTAGTCATCAAATGGGAAAGAGTGATAGTTCAGAAACTCAAAATTGCTAGTCATAGATCTATCAGGAGTTTTGTAAATGATGCCAAAAGAAATGTGATTCTCATCCTTGAAGGAGTGATATTGCTAAGTGTTGTCATGTCAGTTCATACTCATAGAGACCATGTATAGGTTTACTGAGGAGTGGTCTGTAGATTTGAACCAGTGAACTTGTGGTCAGTGTTTATCCTACAGCACCACACCAGGACCCCAGAAAGACTAATAGCAGCAGAAAACAAGCAAACAAACAAAAACAGTTTTCTAAAAAAATATATGGATGTTATCACAGAAGGTATTTAGTACAAGAAAATATAATTCAATCCTAAAAGAAAAACTGGTATTTCCTTGGGATCACTTTCACATTCAAATTGTACCATACAAGATTACAAGATGTCTCCTGCATGTGAGATATAACTAGAGCGTTTGGAACCATGGACAGTAAAGGAGAAGATTCCTAGCACCATCATTTTATAAAGTCTTATTTTTACAGTGCACTCATCAGGTAAAAACCCCAGAGTTACACAAAGAAAGGGGATGCTTGTAGTGCAGCTGCTTATCAGATATTCACCAGTAACGACAAAAAACCCCAAGAATAGTTTTTCTTTATAGGTAATCCCAGAAGTAATGGCAATAAGGAGACCTTGAGAAGAAAAAGGAAAGGCAAATACAATGTTAAGTAAATGTGATAATGTGCAGTTAAAATGGAGGACGGTACTTCAGAATATTGGATATCATTAAAAAATATGTCTGTATTGGCTTTCTTCATATTCTTAGTTTCACACTGCTGGGTTTTGGAAGAAGAGTTGTTTCTAAGAAGAGGATTATGCATAAGCAAGTTTGGAGGGGAAGCTTATGGAAAATGCATTCTAAGATGAGATTGCATCTAGTGACTTCTTGTGTCTAGAATAGGTTGGATCCATTAATCTTCACTATAACTCCAAGTGAAAGGAAAAGGAATTGATTGTATATTTTAATTTGAATATGATTAGTAGAAAACTAGAACTTCATGGTCTGACTTCCTAATTGAGGGCTTGTTGCATTAAGCTGATATGAAGGCATTCCTGGACTGTAGGGGAAAACTCATAATGTGTGAATAATTGTTGTTATGTGCTGTGGAGTCGATTTCGACTCATAGCGACCCTGTATAGGGTTTCCGAGGCTGTAAATCTTTATGGGAACAGAAAGCCTCATCTTTCTCCCACGGAACAGCTGGTAGTTTCAAACTGCTGACCCTGAGGTTCGCAGCCCGCTTCGTAACCACTATGCTGTGTGAATAATGGAATCATGAAATTAAAAAAAATTGCTGAATTCCTCAACTTACTTTCTTAAGTGGAGGCCATACACTAATTCCTTACTTTTTCAGCTACATGTTTGTAAATGAGCTTGAATTTTAACAGTGCTTCAATCTTGCATGACTGATAGAGGAACCTTGTGGTCTTTGGATAGCAAGCTTTCTGCTGACTTTATACCTGCAGAAAGTGAAGAGATGACATGATGGGATCCATCCATCCAGTTTGTTCTGAGGTACCTTCAAACTCTTGAAAAACCACAAAGGAAATTGCAAAAGTCTTGGTCATCCACATCAAAAACAATTACCTAAAACAAAGCAGAATGAACAATCCAAGTCAGGTGGTGGATGGATGAGCCTTTAGAGGAGGCTACAGCTGCTAGACGTTATGATTCCCCCAGCTCACTAGTCCCTCCTCATTTTATATTTTATGGGAAAGTCATTCCTTTTAAAGTGGCTAAGCACTTTACACAAAAGGATCTCATTTAATCTTTATTACAAGCAGTCCCTGAGTTATAAGTATCTGAACCTGAAGCTGCAAACCAACCCCTATAAAGCCTATTATATTAAAATACTGAGATACATACAATGGTTCATAATAACAAATGGGTGCTACTGTGTCTGGAAGTGTTTTATGAGTAAGAAGGTACACTATACTGAGGCAAATATTTGACATTACATATGAGTCTGTGCTTAACTTCCAATTTATCTACAAATATGACTTAAAGACAGACTTAGGGACAGAATTTATTCAATCTGGGAACAGATGTGTGTGTTGGTACTGTATTGTAGGTCAGGAAATTGAGATTTAGAGAAAGTTGGCTTCACATGGAGGTGCTGGAACTGAGGCTTGAGGCCAGACTCCAGATCAACCTCTGGTCCTGTTAACAGTACCATCATCTGTTAACAACAGCCAACTCTAGTTAACCTTTGTGGATTTAGAGCATTTGTCCTAAAGAATCATTCCTATTAGTTCTTTGGTTCGCTTTGCTTTTAGCTCTGCTCCTGAGCTCAGTACCCTTATGATATATAACTAAGGTGACTGTGATATTTATCATCCATATTGGAGTCCTGGTGTGGCACCATAGAGTAAGCACTGGACTGTTAACCACAAGGTCAGCGATTTAAATCCACCAGCTGCTCCTCTGAAACTAAACAGGGCCGCTATAAGTCAGAACAGAGTCTATGGCACTCTACAACAACAAAAGACACAAGAAAGGGAGAGCTATTAATAAGGACAGAATAAGCTGGGATTGTATGGTCACTCTAAAACTAGGACACATGCCCCTATCTTTCTCTTTGTCCCACCTAACCCTTCTTGCTTGCGTCTTTTCTTCATTTCAACACTCTACCACACTAGAGGAAACACTTTTTTGTGTGGTCAGGTTTTTTTCCTGGAGAGTACTAACCTTTGTTTCTTGAAATCAGCCTGGGGGTAGTGAAGAGCTGTTTCTTTTTCCCTTTTTTGTTTATGAGCCGAACTATTCTCTGCATCGAGTCAGCCCCCGGACTCATAGCAACTGCGTGGTCTGGCACCATCCCCATGATGGTTGGGGACTGGGTGATATTTCATTGAGATCCGTAAGGTTTTCATTACTGATTTTCAGAAGTAGATCTCCAGGCCTGGCCTTTTCTTCCTAGTCTATCTTAGTCTGTAAAATCCATTCAAACCTGTGTTTAGTATTGGAGCTGATACACAGATAGTGGCAGCCTATGAGATGTTCAGCCAGGAACGAACCCAGGTCTCCCCCAGGAAAGGCAAGAAGGTCATGGCTGAGCCGCTGCTGCTTCATAACTCCCTTTTCTGTACCATTCCCAGCTGCCTTGGTGTTTTCATGAAGGGTGGTTTATGTTCAATATTAACCTAATAGTTAGCAGCTGTAATGATTATAGCCAAGAAAACCGTATGGAGCAGTTATACCGGGTCTCCTTGAGTCAAAATAGACAAACTGACAACAGGATTTTGGGTTTTCATGACCACTTTCTCCACTCTCAGCCTGGACATATATTCTAAAGAACTACAGGACACCTTTTCATTGGTTCCACTTCTCTGTCCACCAACTGAATGTTCTCCCTATAATTCTCTGCTTCTCTCACATACTCTCTGGATAGGCATTCACTCTCAAAGTTTGAATTACCACCCATGTACTCATGTTGTAAATCATATTGGTGGTTCTTCAGTCTGATTGCCTTGGCTGAATCCTGGCTGTACCTCCCACTAGCTGTGATCTTGGACAAACTTTAAAGAGTTTTAGCTTCCTGTTGTAAAGTGGGAATCATGAAAATGTTACTAGTTCAGGACTGGATATTAATTGCTAAAATTTTGGTAAAGTCCATAATACTTAACAGTTAATACCCAAACCATTAACTATGATGGTATTTCCATTCTTTCCCAAGAACTGAGACTCACTTAGACACCTGTCTTTCTAATTCAAGTTCAGTGCATCTGAAACTAAATAGCAGTAGTGACTGGATATGACTTGTCTCTAGTAACTGGGTCTGTTTCATCCACTGTGTATATTAATATGGCTAAGATCAGAAGCTTTGTACCTTTGTCCTCTCCTTTAACTTGCATCCTTCGAAGTTAAAGAATTAGAACAAGAACTTCATATCATTTTGACTGAAAGATATTAAAAATCTTCCAAGAGTTAGGTTTACGCGTCATTAACTTAAAACAGCCTAAATAGGGCTATATACTACTACTTCATCCCATGATTTGAGCCAGCCTTGGTGGGCTTTGGCCCAGCTGCAAAAATCCACATTGCACATCATAACACCAAACTAGGACAAAACCCCTGGAGATTCCCTAGCACCTGCATTTCTTTTCTGTTGTTGTAAGTACTGTTGAGTTGCTTCTGACTCGTAGTGATCCTGTAGAGTTTTCAAAGAGCGGCTGGTAGATTTGAACCACTGAGTTTGTGCTTATCAGTCCAGTGCTTATTTTATGATGCCGCACCAGTAGAAGTTAATTTGGTTGATTCTTGTAGGAAAATCTTAAGCAGACCTCCCTCTTACCCCAGTAAGGATTCCCTCTATAGATCACTCAAATTAGAGCATTTTTCTCGAGAAAGGGACTGGATCAAGCATAGTGGTCCCCTTTGAATACATAGCATCAGTCTTTGTCAGAAAACACTACTACTCTTGTTGTTGTTGTTAGGTGCCATTGAGTCGGACTGACCCATAGCGACCATGCACAGCAGAACGAAACACTGGCTGATCCTGGGCCAACCTCACTACTGTTGCCACGCTTGAGTCCATCAGTGCTGCCACTTGGCCAATCCATCTCGTTGGGGGTCTTCCTCTTTTCCTCTGACATTCCACCCTACCAAACATGATATCCTTCTCCAGCGACTGGTCTCTCCTGACAATATGTCCAAAGTATGAGAGGCGAAGTTTGGCCATCTTGGCCTCCAAGGAGCGCTCTGGCTGCACTTCTTCCAAAACAGATCTATTGGTTCTTTTGGCAGTCCATGGCACCTTCACTATTCTCCTCCAACACCCTAACTCAGAAGCATCAATTCTTCTACGGTCTTCCTTATTCACAGTCCAGCTTTTGCATTCATATGATGTATTTGAAAATATGGCCTGGGTCAGGCACACCTTAGTCCTCAAGCTGACATCTTTGCTCTTCAGCACTTTAAAAAGGTCTTGTGCAGCAGATTTATCTAATGCAATATGTCATTTGATTTCTTGACTACTGCTTCGGTGAGTGTTGATAGTTGATCCAAGAAGAATGAAGTCCTTGACAACTTCAATCTTTTCTCCATTGATAAGAATGTTTATTGGTCCAGTGGTGAGGATTTTTGTTTCTTTACATTGAGATGTAATCCATACTGAAGGCTATGGTCTTTGATCTTCATCAGTAAATGTTTTAAGTTCTCTTCACTTTCAGCAAGGTTGTATCATCTGCATATCACAGGTTGTTAATGAGTCTTCCTCCAATCCTGATGCCACGTTTTTCTTCATAGAACCCAGCTTCTCGGATAATTTGCTCAGCATACAGGTTGAATAAGTGTGGTGAAAGAATACAACCTTGTTGCACACCTTTTTAAATTTTTTTTTTTTACTTTCACTGTTATTTTATTATACTAATTAAATAGACAGATCATTCTTAGAAATATTACCAAAAGTGTTTTATTTCAAAGCACTGATATTTCTAAATTCACACCTTAATTAGTGCCTCAGTTTTGCATAGTTAAATTTATTTGTAGACAAAATTTAATCTTTACAAGTTTGAATAACTCTATCTGAAGTTTTAAGGTGTTGGCACATGATAAACATTTATCTGTGTTGCTTATCAGATTTCACCTTTGAAAAGCTTTGTTATCTAAGGAAAATTCACTCCAAAAATGAAGGTGACACATCACATACACACTTTATTTTACTCAATTACATTGGAAGAAAAATCAAAGCCAAAAATCGAAACAGAACTAGAAGATTCATCAAACTCTAACCTGAGTCCAGCAGTCGTTTTTTCCTATGTGTTTATACCCATCATAAGGTATTTTTCAACAACAAAACTGAAAATATGTTGCATGTTACATGTATGATCGGCTTCAAAATGTTTATGGAAAAATTCCAGTATCTTTTAATTCTAACTTGCCATGAAATATTTGTACTCCACTCATGTTTAAATAGACCTTTTTTAATTTTAAACCACTCAGTGTTCCCGTTTTGTTCGAACACTTGCTTCTTGGTCCAGGTACGGATTCCTCATGAGCACAATTAAGTGTTCCGGAATACTCATACTTCGCATCAAAGGAGCTCTGGAAGTGTAGTGGTTACGAATCAGACTGCTAATCTAAAGGTCAGCAGTTCGAAACTACCAGCAATTCCACGGGAGAGAGATGAGGCTTTTTGCTCCCATAACGATTTGTTGTTGTTGTTGTCAGGTGCCATCGAGTCGGAACTGACTCATAACGACCCCATGCACAGCAGAACGAAACAATGTCCGATCCTGGACCAACCTCACTACTGCTGCCACACTTGAGTCCATCAATGATGCCACCTGGCTGATCCATCTCGTTGGGGGTCTTCCTCTTTTTCTCTGACCCTCCATCTTACCAAGCATGATCTCCTTCTCCAGCGACTGTTCCCTCCTGACAAGATGTCCAAAGTAAGAGAGATGAAGTTTAGCCATTTTGGCTTCCAAAGATCACTCTGGCTGCACCTATTCCAAAACAGATCTAATGGTTCTTTTGGCAGTCCATGGCACTTTTAGTATTCTCCTCCAACACCACAACTCAAAGGCATCAAATCTTCTGCAGTCTTCCTTATTCACTGTCCAGCTTTCACATG